TAAAGGTAGAACAAATTATGTTGCGGCAATTTTAGAAATATTGGGTTTACTATAGAATGGGAAAAGATAATCACGCAGGATTACGAATAAATGGGAAACCCTTCAACATTACACGCAAGGTGGAAAATTTTAAGAGTTTAAAAATGATATGAAAACAATTTTAAAAAGGTATAAAAGATATGTTTTAAAGTATAGTACGCAAGTTGAATTTATTAAAATGAAGAGGTAGGTAGGACGGGGGGAAAAGGAGGAAATTTATAAGAAAATAAGCCTTTCTCATATGATTTAAAGAGCCCAGTGTGAAACGATTCTTGTGTTTATATTTTGATTATTTCTTTCTTAGTTGTATTTTTAGGCGCTTGTCTGTTGTCGTGATACTCATTCGTAATGTCCACGTGTATGTTCAGCAAACGTTCGACTAGCGACATAAATATGGCCACAAAAATCACGAATTATATAACATCTCAGCGGGGCAGGGCTAAGATAGGAGGTTTGCTGGGGCTGAAGCTATTCAAAAATGTGTCTTAGCCTCCCTTGTAGCCCCCGCACTCAACGAAAAAGTTTGTCGACTTCCTAAGTACTACGTTATGTGTTTCACAAGATGTAGAATGCATGCCCCTCAACTTTTTGTCTAGCCAAATTCAGCCCCCCTCATCGGGAAGAGGCTGGAGTGTCCCCTATATATCAGGGGACTTGAACTACAGTTAAACTGTGTTTTAATGAAATAAGATGATTCAGCGTCTGTTACGAATGTTATACGTGAGGGAAAGTATAACACTTATGTCTGTTCTATTTCTAAATCCAGGGGGGCTTCTCTGTTTAGGTTCAACTGGTTGTGAATGAATAAATCTGATGTCAGTATCTCTCCAATTAGAGACTAAGGATTTCTCAGATAACATGTGACTTACTGTAATGTACTGCTGTATGATGTCAAAGCTAGTCAGAAGAATATGGGTGGTTTGATTATAAATAAAAATGTATATACTGACTATGGGGAGTGTATTTAAAAAATGATTCTGTATATACTGTTTGTTAGTGCCGAGATAGTACAAGTAACTAATAGTACAAGTAATTAAGCTCTCGACACAATATGGATTATTCGACCTTATGAAACTATAGGAAAACTAAAATCCAATTTCTATGAGTGTTATTGCAGCACACATGAAAATTAAAATTCCAAACTATATAAATTCCCTTCAAATACATCATCTTGTCTGAAAAGATGTCATTAGAACACTGCATGTGATCTAACCAACGCAGGCGGTCTAATGACAGTGTGGAATATATACAGCTAGGAATCTTTGTGACATTCCAATATCCTGTAGAGGATGAAAGAGTTGTTTGTCATTTGGCGTGTTTTATGATGTTCACACTGAAATCAAAGATGTTGACATTAGAAAACAATTATCATTTGAAAGTAGTGTCGTCCGGTGTCTAACTTATTACAATTTATTGCCCAGAAGATAAAAGAAGCACTTACGTTAACTGCTTAATAAATAGATTCCCAAGCCCTATTGTTTGCAAAGATAGCAAATTGCTTGTAGACGCAGTGCTTCGTCCATCTTCAGTGTTAATCATTGGCTGTCAAAAAGACTCCGCCTAACTGTCCACATACCCAATCAGAAAAGGAGGCGGGACTATATCCCCCGACAAGTACATTTCCGTCTCCCGGTTGTTATTACAACTAGTGATAATGGCTACCTTAAAAAGAACCTATCGTTATCAGTAATACTGTAATAATTTGAGCAATATATTTTGTGTCAAAACATATGAACAAGCTGTTACAGATTCAGAATCAACTGCCGATGTATTGCTATAATTGTCTGGCCAAAAATACGGGAAACAAAAGCTGGAACCTGATTCCTTCCCGGAACAAATTTATGTTTTGTTAATTTTTAATACGTTAAAATATATATAAGTATTTCAAAATATTATCACCATTAAATACAATCAATAAAATACACTAAAAACATTTAAACTCACAAATTACTTAGTTTTTCTTTCCAATTAGGCCCGGAAGGAAGAAAAATTAAAATTGAATTATATATCATGCTCGTTTAGGTTTTGAATCCTTTCCGTAGACTAGTTTTCTGGTATTTAACGTCATTTTTACTTTATCTAAAGAACAGTCTTCTAAAGAATTTGTCCTTAGGGTGAAAATACAAAACAAAAAGCACTGAATTTCACGTGCGCCAACTACTTATAAATCATATAGCTGACTTAAATAAAGGTCCGGGGGAGGGGTGATAGATATTAAGGTTTGAAATTATTTTCATTAAACTCTCATTACAGTAATAAAGCTCGTGCACATTGTTAGACATAACAAAAGAAAACTTGTATTTGTAATACAAATAGATGATTAATGCATTACAAAGTTTATGAACTCTAGGAAAGTCATGAATCAACAGATATATTAAGAATGTTTGTCAAAGATTATAATTGCTTGGTTTAACATACTTGTCAAACGCACCTGTTATGTGGTGAAGCCTCCTTCCAGCCGTTGGCACAAGTATTGTTTTATATATGACACAATAATGTGAAGAAACAAAGAACTGGGATGAATGGCCTTAAAGGCATTTCTGACGTGAGAAAAGAATGGCAAGGTGTCAAACAGAAAGAAGAACGTTACTGTTTTTGGCTGAAATGTTTCTGTTTTAAGAACTGAGGGTATTTCAAAGAATGACATGTAGTACATACATAAGAAGGTGGTTAGAACTGAGGGTATTTCAAAGAATGACATGTAGTACACACATAAGAAGGTGGTTAGAACTGGGGGTATTTCAAAGAATGACATGTAGTACATACATAAGAAGGTGGTTCACACTGTTTTATGAACTACACGATAACGTGAAACATTACTTGTATTATCCATATTCCTATACTGGAACAACTAAGGCCAGATACACAGTAAAGGTACTCAAATCAATACCATTTACTTCCTAAGTTATAAGTTTTAAATCCCTGACGCTAGCTTACTTTATGATAACTTACGATAACAGCAGCAGCACTCAAAACAATCTACTTCCTCAGTTATAAGTTTTAAACCCTGACACTAGCTTACTTTATGATAACTTACGATAACAGCAGCAGCACTTAAAAAAATTTACTTCCTCAGTTGTTTTAAACCCTGACACTACCTTACTTTATGATAACTTACAATAACAGCAGCAGCAGCACTCAAAACATCTACTTCCTCAGTTATAAGTTTTAAACCCTGACACTACCTTACTTTATGCTAACTTCGATAACATCAGCAGCACTCAACACAATTTACTTCCCTCAGTTATAAGTTTTAAACCCTGACACTACCTTACTTTATGCTAACTTCGATAACATCAGCAGCACTCAACACAATTTACTTCCTCAGTTATAAGTTTTAAACCCTGACACTACCTTACTTTATGATAATTTACGATAACAGCAGCAGCACTCAACACAATCTACTTCCTCAGTTATAAGTTTTAAACCCTGACACTACCTTATTTTATGCTAACTTCGATAACATCAGCAGCACTCAACACAATTTACTTCATCATAAGTTTTAAACCCTGACGCTAGCTTACTTTATGATAATTTACAATAACAGCAGCAGCACTCAAAACAATCTACTTCCTCAGTTATAAGTTTTAAACCCTGACACTAGCTTACTTTATGATAATTTACAATAACAGCAGCAGCACTCAACACAATCTACTTCCTCAATTATAAGTTTTAAACCTTAACACTACCTTACTTTATGCTAACAGCAGCAGCACTCAACACAATCTACTTCCTCAATTATAAGTTTTAAACCTTGACACTACCTTACTTTATGCTAACTTCGATAACATCAGCAGCACTCAACACAATTTACTTCATCATAAGTTTTAAACCCTGACGCTAGCTTACTTTATGAGTTGTTTTCACCTTATATTCAATTCTACTGACTAATTTTGTAATATAAACATATCTTAATCCAATGTAGGCGTAGAGTTATATATATTCTGTTATCTATGATTCAGAGTTTACATTTGTTTGTACATAGAGTAGCTATTAACAGTTTTTGTATTTATTCTGTAGTATATAATACATAGAAATCATAGAAGTAAGAACAAAATCAATAGTAATCCTCCCACATAATCACATTATTATTTCATTATTCTTATAAATTATTTTAACCAACTCTTGAGATAATACATCTTTTCAAATATCATTCCAAAAATTATGTCTTTATGTAATAACACATGTGTTTAAAAAAGATATGTATCTCGGTTTAGTTCGTGTTTAATTACTCAGATTTTCAAAGTTCTCTTTATTCCTTTTTTTAATTTTTTTACTGAAGAGAAGAAAGGAAGGTGTCAATACCTCTTTCGAAGAGTTTAACAAAATATTAGTTGAGGTCCTCATTTAAAAATGAAACTACGTTTATAGTTTGTTACTTTATTGGTTTTATCGAGTATTTTGTTTCATTAATGCAATCATGAGATTTAACGCTATGTCAAGAATTTAGGGTTTAAATCTTCCTTGTGTGTGTGGATAATGTGATATGATTTTTTTTTTCACCTTCTAATAGACCAAACTTTCTCTATGATAACGAAAAACTTATAATTTGAGTTTCCAGACTAATATTTGTTGATAAAACTTTTTTGGGACTTGTTTTGTCAGTTATTATCGTCACTTCCGTCGCTACATTCCATCGAATGGATTCGTTTATTAGAAATTCAACTCTCGTTAACCGTACAGAATCACTGGCATCGTTTAACTACCCTGTAATCGGACCATGTGGGTGGTCAGCATACGTGACCATCTGACCACACCTATAGCTTAGACTTTTTCAAACGAATGGATCGCTTTCCAGAAACATTATCTGCTAATGAGTTGTCAAGTCACTTCCATTATTATGCCAACCTTGCAACAAGTAACTTAGATTTTTTATTTGCTGAGAACTACCTTTCTAAAAGAAAAAGAAAAGCCCCTCTCTAGTTTCTCGAACCCTCCCTATAAAGTAGTGGTAACGACCAAGAAACGTTCCTCTCAGCACGAGACACAGGAGCGCGTGGTTTGGTCCGTGATTTTGCCCATCGGACCGCCGCTGCCAGAGCAGGGCATCGGTTTTCACACTGCAAAAGTGTTTCAGAGTGAGGAAGACGGTTTACTCTTACTGAATCTGAACAAGAGGCTAAAGCTAACCACGCAGCCGTTCTAGGATGTCGGGAACTCGGGGCTGAGCAAACGCCCACGGCGGAAACGACTGACGGCTCATTTATTATTGCTGTTATAGTAACAGCGGTTTGATTGACAAGTCAGACTGCAATAACTACTAAAGCCTGCAAGGCGTAATGAGAAGTGGGTTACTTCGTTGATGACGTCGAGTTCTAAAGCAGTCACGTCGATAACTTGTGGTGTGGACAAACATTTGACTTTGCAGCTTTTGCATATGTGTTTATGCATATAGCTATTTACACTTTGGATCTTTTAAAGTCTCAAATGCGCTAGTCGGAAGTTGGTGAGTCTGGTTATTGAATGACAAGCCGAACGCGCAATCTAGATATACATGTGATAAAGCTTGTTTGTCTATTACGCGTTTATTGCTCGTGCTCTGCTGAGGCACCGTTTAACGCCATGGCATGATTTATCTCGTTCAAATAAATAAAAAGTAATTTAGGTCTGTATCGGTTGTTTATTCATCATGCAGTACAATGAAAGTATCTCGCATTTCGGTTCAATGGACGGTCCTGCATCACTTTACGACCCTCATGGACACAGACCAATGTCCACTCTTACTCACAGTCCCCGCCTCAATCCTTCTATGCATCAGTATCATCCCGTGACCGATCACGTCATGGGCTCAATACCCGACGTTCACAAACGAGACAAAGATGCTATTTATGGGTAAGTTTATGACTATTATTATTAAGTTTGCTCCTGAATCCAGTGAACTATCTAAACTTTCTTTGTAAGCACCAAATCAAAAACATACTATAAAATGCTCGAGTATTAGAGGTAGTAAAATCACGTTTTACTGTGTACAGTTTACAAAGGAAAAACAAGGTTATTTTATTTTTAATAACGGAATCTAGAAATTTTAAAAGAAACTCGTCAGTCTAATAATCTAAACTTCATAGCAGGAAAAAAAATGTGGATTTTTTTTAAGGATTAAAAATGAATCCAAGTGAATTATGTCAAAGAAGTAAAATTGTGTTTACGATTGTTTCATCATTCTACTCAGAAACAAACACCAGTTAAGTTGGTTTGTCATTCTAATATTTTCTTTAGTACCAACCCTATAGTAACTTTCGCTACATCCTGTACATATATCTATAATATATATATGGATATGGATATATTTCACAGTTATGTGTATTTATTTACGAGAGAATTATGTAAAAAAACAACATTTTTATCATAGATGTACTAGTTAACAAATGATACCATTTAGAGTTTTATATAAATGTTATAATTTTACATTGTTTTGTAATACGAATGTTGTATTTTTACATAACATATGTATATATATATTATATAACGCGCTTATTTGTATGTTACACGCTGATTGTTCTCCTGTGAAATTATCCTGTCAATATATACATGCGTATACAGTATATATATTCTGATTTTATAGGTTTTTTTTATAGTAATGTTTAATGAGAATTAATTAAAGACCGTATCAAACATAAGTTACAGTGTAAAATATTACCTTAAAACTGGGATTTTTGTACCTTGTAGAAGAAAATGGTGCAACAGGATATTTATAATGCTTCTTCTTGCTATACTGTCAGCTGGCACTACAGTGGAAACGTAACTACAATGCGTGTACAAATCACCAGTGTGACGATTAAATCTTGTTTTAAGTTAAAACACAAACTGTATATCTAAGATTGTCTGCAATACCATTTGGACAAATTCTGTTAAACAACATATCGTGTACCATGCTTCACCGATCTCTTGGCTTTCTAGTGATTGGTGTTTTCAGTGCGGTTGAGCTAGTTGATTTAGGGAGTCGCTGGACTCTCTTTCGTGATATAGACTAAGTGTTCTATGGACTTCTTTAAAAGAGCCTCCATTGTATCTTTTGTACTCCGTAATTCTTCCTACCTGGAGTTATATCGGACGACACATATAGCCGTTGTGTTAAACACGCAGAGTCCAGATCTATTTCAGTAACGTTTTATGGAAGGTAACGCATAGTTCCATTCTAAATACATATTGTAAGTCTATGTCAAGCGTGGTCGTAAATTTAAGGCTTAAGAGGAGGGTATATACGTTATATTCTAAACAGGTTTCATGATGAAATGAGGTACATTTTGTAGTAAATGTTGTGCATTTGTTTCCTCTAACACTGGTGTGACAAATCTGGAAAACTGGAGTGACACAGCAACTCTGCAGAACGAGAAGAAGTGGGAAAACACGTGAACTCTAATTGAGGGTTACTCTTAAAAGTCTAACGAAAACTTTACAGAATAAACATTTTCCGCAACTGATAAAAAGAGCGATTGCACCACCAGAAAAATTGTTTTAAAACAAATACAGTCAAACTGCCATACTTTTATTTGAATTTATTATGCTAGAGGCTGTCAGTAAATCCAGTAATAATTGAAACATAACTTACATATATGTGTGTGAAATTGATAAAATAAAGTTTTAACAATTTGAAGAGGGAATTTTAAGTGATGTGAGGATTCCCACACATCCAGTTATATCTGAATATCATAGACTCTTCTTCACGTTCACTTAGAAGCTTATTAGTAATTAGAAAATAATATATATATAACACTTCCAAAGAAATGCTTAAAACAAAGAAAACATTCAAAACTCCTTCTCACCGTTTCATTTTTTCCTAACTTAAGAAAAATAACTTTAGACCTGAGAAAACTGCTACACAAGTAACACTTAGAACATTACCTTACCCAGTAACTTAAGATCTGTATTAATTAAATGAAAGAATAATAATAATAAAATAAAAATAACTTTTCATGTGTGATCAGTTTTTTAAATATCCGAAAAACAAAAATGTAAGATAGTGACAAGAGTATGTCTGGACATCTGTTTCCAAGCGTGTGATACTTTATATTAGAAAGGGCTATAAGAAGACAAAGTTATAGTTTCATACTGTAACCCTAGGACATTTGGATTCAAGTTTTAATGACACCACCTTGGAAGATCCCGATATGCTTAAAATTGCAGCCCTATCGTCCTATGTAATTGACTTTGTCAAGTTCTATTCATCATTTAGGAACAACATAATTTCTAAAAAAGTAAACTTGAATCCTAATTAAGGTAAGAAATTTTTTGGCGAGAATTATGTCAAGACTTTTATATCATAAAGTTGTAAATGAGGAATTGTACAAATAAGCACTTCATTAATTTCACGGAGATATAGCTTGATGCATCATCTAATTAATTCTAGTCAAATAATTAGGGTCTACAGTTGAACGTGAAACGGCTAGGACATAATTTTCTATGATACTCTAGATATCAATCTTGCGAATTAAGAAGACGAAGTAATTGTTACATAATAGATATGTCATAATCATCAACATAAATAATAAGATTAACCTAACCACCCTGAGGGGTAAATCTGCCTCATAGGTGAACTTTGAGGACTTTATATTTATCACTGTATGGTAACTACTGTCTATTACAAAATACTTAATATTAATGGCCACTTCACGATTTTATATTTCAAAATTACATTGGAACGTTTTTGGATACTGAAATAAGTCTGAAATAAAATGTATGACATGCAACAAAAATATCGGTACACAATTTCTCCATGCTTAGCTTTAAATCAGATTACTATCAGTGAACCACGATACTTTTAGAAAGCTTCCTAAGACTATGCTATGAGGACTTATGAGTGAAAGTAAGACGGTCTTTATTGGCAAAACACTGAATATGGCAATCCTGCACACGCACACAACTTAAGACCTGTCTACATGTTGATATGACTTATAAATATAAGGCTTCAGCCCCTTATTTCTCACACAGGGGTTATTCTCACCCGATGTGCTGTATGTTTTGTTTTTGGAGGGAGTGGGGGATGAGCAAGATTATACGTTTGTTAAAATTTTCTGAAACACTGGACGTTTGTAATTCTTTTATGATAGCTTTGACGTTAAAGTTTTAACCACGTTCTTTAAGAGCTTTGGGTTATAAATTGCCCATATTCATGTATCTTGATGAATCTTAACAACTATAATTCTGAGGTGGGGCATGACTGCCGTTCTATCGGCTGACTGTTATTCAATTTTTAAAATATAATCTCTTGTATTCATAATCAAGAATGGAGCTGGTTGCTTGTGTCGTTTAAAATTGAGCCACCGCAGTATTAGGAACAGAAGAAAACTGGATAACTTATCCAGAATCCTTCTTTTACAGCTTAGCTTCTTTGACATCGCGTATAAGTTTGGAACTGCGTACAGTTATTTACATATGAGATTTGATAACTTACCCAAGGAGCTGTTCTAGAACGAATTTTACAGAAATTAAAAGGGGCGATTAGTTATGATATGTTGTTTATATATATCTATCAAATACATTTCATGTTTCTTAGTTTCTCTACTTTTCAATGTGTAAGCAAAACATTAGTGTTTTTTGTTGTTGTTGGCAAAACTGTTTTCACTCAAATGATAGAGTGTCATCGAATACCATTGACCAATGGAAATACACACTTATAGATAGATATACTTTGTAACTTATTAGCAAGTTATAATTAACAAACTCCTAGCGACAAACTGTCTTTGTTCCCGATCTTTCAATTACAAATCTATGAAGATCTACAAAATTTTATAACAGCCGCAGTATTGAAACAATGGGTTAAACCTACAAAACACTTTTATACTTGAAATCTACGTTTGTTAAAACCTACAAAACAGTTTTTACACCTGAAATCTACGTTTGTTAAAACCTACAAAACACTTTTATACCTGAAATCTTTATTTATTAAAACCTACAAAACAGTTTTTACACCTAAAATCTACGTTTGTTAAAACCTACAAAACAGTTTTTACACCTAAAATGTACGTTTGTTAAAAGCTACAAAACGGTTTTTATACCTGAAATCTTTATTTATTAAAACCTACAAAACAGTTTTTACACCTAAAATCTACGTTTGTTAAAACCTACAAAACACTTTTTACACCTAAAATCTACGTTTGTTAAAACCTACAAAACAGTTTTTACACTTGAAATCTACGTTTCACTCCCGAAATAGCGTATCATTAAACAGCGAAAACTTGTTCACAAATCAACTAATGCTCAACAGGTTGAATCTCATCCTTCAATCAGATGGAAGAACTGTTGTCGATTTTTAGGATAAAAAACAGTCAGAAACATTTAACATAAATTAAATTGTTATCATAAAACTGCTCTTGAACATAATAATAAAGTTATAAAAATTGTTGTCGCGGGAGTCATGAGGATGTTTCAACTTTTTATGATATATTTCCAGCTTTTACCTGAGCAATTACTCCGGTGTTTTTGACTTGGACATTTTTTCTTGTTCATTGTTATCTTATAACTTGAGGCTTACAGTGCTTAAAAACATACAAAAAAATGTCTGATTCGTGTGATCTGGTTTGACTTTACTTTCTAAATAACTATTACATAATAATAAAGTTAGGCCTAACAATGTTGTTCGTCCGGCTTGATTTAGAGTTTACCGGTATCTTCTTTAGAAAGCTACTGACCGGTTCCTTGCTTTTAATACGCACTCGGGTGGAATACAAGATGTGACGGGGCCTTGCGGGAGTTAATATGTATTGAAAGTTCAATGAACAACGGCGTAAGGTTTTGTTTCGGGGGATCTAATGCAATAATCTAAAAAGCTCAGGTTTCTGATTTTGTATACGTTCGTCCGATGAGTCAATGATGTGTGTTATCGACTTATTCTTCCTTGTTTTCAGACACCCGCTGTTTCCGCTATTAGCCTTGATCTTCGAGAAGTGCGAGCTGGCGACGAGTACGCCGCGCGATCCCGGCATCGCTGGCGGTGACGTCTGCTCTTCGGAATCCTTCAACGAGGATATCGCAGTCTTCGCCAAGCAGGTAATATTAGTCAAACATAAACGCATATAAATTGATTTCGTTTATCCAATGAACATTAAATTCATTACTTTCAATAAATATTTGTATTTTTGCTGTGTGTGTGCGTTAGTAATGTTGTTAAACTATTACAAGATTAATTGTAAAAAAAAAGTCGTGTTTTTTTTAGTTACTATCGTTTTACATCAGTACCAACTTCAGATCTATTATAAACGGATTTTCTGAAAGGTTTTGGAATGATTTTATCAGAGTACTAATAATTAATAATGGCACGGAACTCGTGTGAAAGTTACTGAAACTTTAACATGATACACTGTTTTAAAGCTATTATTGCTACTTAATGATGCCAAATTCTAGGTCTTTAATCGTCTATTTTTTCTTGTCCACGAACTCTCAGTTGGATAAGATCCATGTGTTTAAATTTCTTAATCTTTTCCTGCCTCATAATTATATATATATATATATACATATACAGGAAAAAACCTAAAAGTAAAATGTTACCTAAGAATATACAACATTATACCGGTTGAACTGGCTTGGAAATATGTAAAAAATTTGTATATAGTTTATCCTGGAGGTAAATTATTACATTCATGGTGGTTTAAAATTTCTCTGTAATTTGATGCAATAGAAGAAAAAAAGGCTCAAGTGAGCTCGTGAAAAATAGCCATCACGTAGATGTGACGCCCACATTGAAAAAAATTAGTTTGTATATATACATGCGTGTACATCCACTAGCTAAGTGTACTAACCTACATGTATATATATATATTTCATTTGATGTGCGTTTTATGATGAATATAGAATTTTATAAACATAAGTCTTCTTACCTTGTTTATTTCTTATCCAAACAACAAAGCTAATTATATGCCTTTGATATTTTCTAAACAGTTTCAGGTTTATATTTATGTCATTATAGAGTGTAACATTATAGTTTTTTATTTGAAGTTTAATTATTTTAACACTGTCAGTTTTTTTTAGGATTACTTAATACCAATTTAAAGCTATCATAAAAAAGAAAGCGAAAGAAACATAATTTCCAAATTACAGGAACAATGAGATTTTTTTCTAAGTGATTTTGCTAATTAAATCAGTACTGGTATACTGTCATGTAAATCACAACATATGAAAAATCACAGAAAGTTAGATAACATTGAAAAACACCTTGGTAAATATATTTTTTTTAAAAACGATGTTTCTTGTTCTGATTGTGCAGATTTGTTTAAAAAAATGTGATATTTTTCTTTATAATTACGAAACATTTCTTCAACACAATCTGCTTGAGAATTGAGTAATATCTCTGCGTAAATGAGGATATGTAATGCGGATAAAACTTGTTTTAAAAGAACTTTATTTACCAAGAAAGGTTTAGTGTTGTTTGTCGATGTGCTTTCATTCACTTGCAGATATTGGTAGAAAGCCTCCAATACACCGCTGATGAAGAATTAGACACAATAGTAAGTAACGAACTTTTCCCTTCTACGTCATTTTGCTGAATCTTTTTTGTTTACACTTTTACTTTGCAGATAAGACAAGAAAAACATTATTATGTCCAAAATCCCGAGTTAGACAGCCTTGTAAGTACATATAATACCATTTTTATTTAGTTTTTGTAAATCTTTCATAAGTATGTTTTAAAATTTGTTTTGTTGCGATTTCAAGGCATTTAATGCTTCATGTAAATCTTTTTCTTTTCGAGTTGTTGTTTTTGTTTTTTATTTCATTCATAGGAACCAGTTACTAAGATAGTTATTTTTAATTTGTTTTAATTGAACATATTTTATCTTTTTCCCGAGTATTCACTTAATTTCCTTTTTTATATTGTTGAACAACGTTTAGGTGCTTTATGATAGCGTTTAATTAATAGATAAGCAGACAGACAGGTAGATAGACAGACAGACAGATAGATAAGCAGACAGATAGGTAGATAGACAGACAGAGAGATAGATAGATATACAGGTAGATAAACAGACAGATAGATAAGCAGACAGACAGGTAGATAGACAGACAGATAGATAGACAGATAGATAAGCAGACAGACAGATAGATAGACAGACAGGTAGATAGACAGACAGATAGATAGACAGACAGGTAGATAGACAGACAGATAGATAAGCAGACAGAGAGATAGATAGATAGATAGACAGGTAGATAAACAGACAGATAGATAAGCAGACAGACAGATAGATAAGCAGACAGACAGGTAGATAGACAGAGAGATAGATAGATAAGCAGACAGACAGATAGATAGACAGAGAGATAGATAGATAGACAGGTAGATAAACAGACAGATAGATAAGCAGACAGACAGACAGATAAATATATAGATAAGCAGACAGACAGGTAGATAGATAAATAGATAGATAGACAGAAAGAGAGATAGATTGCTGTCTAGTTCGACCTTTTTTCTGACCACATGTTGCGAGGGCCCCACTAACAGTGGCTTATTAAGCATATCTCCGGCATAGTTGTAAGCTTAACGTAAGACGTGATAACAAGATATGTATAGAAATGATTCAGAATCATTAATTTTCCTTACTTTCGCTCCTGACATTACTTGTATTAAACTCATTTATGAAATGTAATGTAGGTATTTTGAAAAAAGTAAGAAAACAATCATACATTAAAAAACACCAGTTTCAGATCTATATGTTGTGTATATATCAACAGTTCTTCTTGCATAAGTACACTTTATAATGCTGATTTACACATACATGTTTTCAGACTGCTATGTTGTAGGTGCACTTACATATACATTTCTCAGATTTTGCTGTGTTACTGTGTTATATATATATACATATTTTTGCCGTCACGCTCTACGTGTACTTACTTACATGTATTTCTTACAATTTTTTAAAATGTTCCACTGTTTACTAATACTTGTTATCAGATTCTGCCACATTCTACTGTGTGCTTACATATATTTGTTGTCATATTTGTTTCTATGTAGTGTGTTATCACATGTACTTATCGTTCTACTATATTCCAGTGTTTACACGCATATACAGGGTGATGCCAAAGTCGAGCATCACCATGATGCTTATAACTGTTCGAAATGTGTACCGTTGCTATCACGACACAACACCACAACAAGATCACTTGCTTACGTTCGTGCAAGGTTAATGACATTTCAACCAATTATTATAACAAACGAAAAAAAGACACAGTTAAACACAAACATGACGTAGAAAAATCGTAGTGAGGGCGGGACTTAAAAACATCATGGTGGTTCATGACTTTCACACACCCTTTACTTTTTATCAGATCTTCTTACGTAGTGTGTATTTACGTATCCTTGTCATCACTTCTGCTACATTCCACTGTGCACTTACGTAAACATTTTTATCACTTTTTGGTATATTCTTGTGTTTACTTAAATTATGTTATGTTCTAGCATGTGATTTGCAGGTTTCGTGCTACGTTTTATGTTACGTACTTGTTGTTTGAGGCTGCTATAACGTAGCGTGTACTTACGTGTACTGCTCTATTCTACTATGTATACTTGTTTTCAGATTTTTGTTATAGTGTGGTCTAATATTTATTTCTCAGACTTTTCTGCGTACTTGAATGTATATTCTTTCTTATTATCACATTCTGCTATATTATTGTGTGTTGTTATGTATTATATGAAGTGGTTATTTTCTATACTTATATTTATGTGTTATTTTCCTATCAATTTCTGATGTGTTCTAACGCACTTGTAGTCAGATTCGTATGTGTTTAAGTGTATACTTATACATATATAATGTGTTTTTTGTTATGTTCTAGTGTGTACTTACATATGTTTAATATAAACTTGTACTTGTAGACTTGTACTTCTTGTCAGGGTTTGAATTTATCTAATTTGTGCTTAAATATATATTCCTTATCAGATTCTGCTTAAGTTCAAATATTCACGTTTTTCTCAGTGACTACGTGTGTGGGCCGTCTGAACTAAATGACGAATATATAAGAATGGTGCACACAAGCTGAATTCCTAATGGACCCTAATAGTTGCGTTCTTTTTTCTGATTGTTAGCACTTTGATTATAGGGTTATAACAGTAAATGTTATTTTAAACGTTATCAAAAATTACGTATATTTCATTGAATATCTTTATTTTAATCGAAAAATCCATTAGTTGCTTTCATCATGGCATGAACTTTCTTTAGCTTGAGAATGATAAAGCATTTTATTATGACGAAAAAGAAAAGACGATTAATTTATCTAAATATAACATGTGTATTGGAAATAAATTATGTGGAAATGTTCACCTTTACAAGTAAATATCATGTAAGGAAAGGAAGTAATTTCTCAGCAGGAAAGGATTTGAAAGCCATATCAGTAATGAACATAATTCAAATTGATAAGATTGATTCTAAACAGGAGCACAAAATATTTATCACCCTATGTCTGCCTGTAATTTACATGCAGCTTGACTGAAGGTAGGGAAGTGCGTTGAAGGCTGTGGACTTGCTCCAACTGTATATCTTCTTTGAAGTTAATGTTTTGCTTCAATTTTTAGATATTTCGCTTCTGTAAATCTTTTTACCGAAATTCAAGAAAAACGACCTTATTTGTGGCCATTTATGTGTGTACAAGCTTATATTGTATATGCCAATATATGCATACTATATCTATACAGAGGTTGAGTACGTTATATTGAAATGATTTTGGAAACTCACGACCTCGTTATGGTCCATGTCGTCGCGTCTTCTCATGTTATATCTGTTGGTCATGCAGCATAGTTTTCATTCCGAAAAGCTACACCGTAAGGCTGTCATGTTAAAAGCATGCCACTACTTCCTGTGTGCTTTCCATTAACCATCTAATGTAGAAGAACAAACGGTTGCCGTCTCTTCGTTTTAATAGTCCAATCGCACAGAAATCCATAGGTGACTTGATCAGTATGTCTTCTTGTGGAATAGCATGAATACCCATATCATTCTTCAACTGCTTCAAGTATGTGACGTCTGAACGGACATGTCGTGGAAGAAACTTGAATACACGTGACCTTTGTCGCTTTTTCATGGGGAGTTGCTTCTTGGTTATGTTGCATACTGTTTCGTGGGGCACGTGGACGGCTTCATGCCAAGTAAGTAACTTTAGCGTTCGTGAATTCTTACCTCTTACAAGGCGCCACATTTTACTTATCACGGCTGTTGCAGACCGTTTTGTGTGTGTGGGGGGGACGGTGTTCTAGTTCCCCAAGCTGATCCATATTCCTTTGTTCTCCAATGCAATTACGTAAATCCCTCATCCATACACATCTTTATGCTTTCAGTATAAGAATATTTTACGTCGGAAATGTCTGTCACATATCATTCCCAAAAGCGATCAATTTTCAGTGGCATCACACTACCTATGAACCCCAAATACCAAAATATAGTTCTGGTACATTCCTTTCCATCCTTTGCATATCTAATATCGTTTTAATATAACGTACTCAACTCTCTGTAGTATGTTTTTATTCTGTCTTGTGAAATTGTTGGAAAACACAATTTCTTACATTTAAGAAGTTTTTACTACATAAGACAAACGTCAGTTACGTGGAATTACATAATAACACAGATAGTGTGTAAATATCTTTCTTTTAAGCTTTTGCTCAAGTTAAAAGCTTTTTTTGGCTATTTAATTTATTAACGTACCTGTTTCGTAGTATTCGTTGACAGTATTGTATTGTTTCTAATACAGTTTCATGGATATGTAAATAACAGCATTTTCTTTTAAAGTTAAATAGTAGGTTTATATGCTGTGAATATAGTGAAATTTAGAATGCTTCTTATGCCATTGGTCAAGTAGAGATGAAAGCCTCTAAACGAATACGGGTCATTTCAATCTCCCGTAGACCTGAAAGGATTTGGATGTACAGGATATTTCGCTCCCCATTTAGATCTGAAAAGCACTGGATTTTGTATCACCTTACTTTTCCGTAGACCTGGAAATATTGGATGTACAAGATATTTCGCTCCCCATTTAGATCTGAAAAGCCCTGGATTTTGTATCACCTTACTCTCCACGTAGACCTGAAAGGATTTGAATGTACAGGTTATTTCGCTCCCCATTTAGATCTGAAAAGCACTGGATTTTGTATCACCTTACTCTCCCGCAGGCCTGAAAAGATGTGGATGTACGGGATATTTCGCTCCCCATTTAGATTTGAAAAGCCCTGGATTTTGTATCATCTTATTCTCTGAAAAGCTTTGAATTACAAGTCATCTTGCTCTTCGTGCAAACCTGCAAAGTTCTTGAATACGAGTCGCCCCCCCCCCCCCATGAAGTCTTGCAAATCTCTTAGTGTACGAATAATCGTAGTCCATTGTATACCTAAAATGCTCCGGTGTACGAGTCAGCTTAGACCCTTGTATTTGCTCTGGTGTAAAAGTCATCTTGCCCCTCATGTCATGTATATTTAAAATGTTCGGGTGTACGAGTCATCTTTCTCGTCATATATACTTAAAATGTTCGGGTGTACGAGTCATCTTGCTCGTCATGTATACTTAAAATGTTCGGGTGTACGAGTCATCTTTCTCGTCATACATACTTAAAATGTTCTGGTGTACGAGTCATCTTGCTCGTCATATATACTTAAAATGTTTGGTGTACGAGTCATCCTGCTCGTCATGTATACTTAAAATGTTCGGGTGTACGAGTCATCTTGCTCGTCATATATACTTAAATGTTCGGTAGTACGGTACATCTTGCTCGTCATATATACTTAAAATGTTACGGGTAGTACGTAGTCATCTTAGCTCA